ATGAAAAAGATCACCATCGTATTTAGAATGTTTCAGGTGCATGCCTTCACACGGGCAGCATTTCATTCGTTTTAATGCGTTCGTTACCAGTAGAGCAGTTTTTCATGACAATACAAGCAACGCTTTTATACAATTGTACATACAGAAATTTTAAGTTATGGAATGTTTTTAGTAGGGGCTCTATGTGTAGTAGCGAATTGTGACGGATAGATTCTTCAATCAGTAATAAATAGTAGACAAGTAACCTTTGTACAACGTCTTGACACCTTTTGTAGATTTTTATATTTTTATTGTGTTGAAATATTGTTTAACATTTTCAGTGTTTTTTTCTTTTCTTTAACCTTTCTAAAATCGCGCTCTTAACTGTTGAGAAATACTGGAAGAATGATGTTAATCATTTTGTTTAATAATAATAATAATAATAATAATAATAATAAATGTTAGTTACCCAACTGAAAATGACAATATAGTCAATATTTCGCTCTATAATCATTCATCAACCTATTATATATTGTGCTAAACTTTAATAACCCAATCAAATTCCTGAATGGATCGCTGAAGGTATTACATGTCTATTACCAAAAACTGGTGAAACAGATTAATCCAAAAAAATATAGGCGAATAATATATCTTTGAACTACATATAAATTGATTACGTCTGTCCTGACGAACTGTACTTACTCATTTCTAGATGAAAACAACATTCTTTTCCTGAAGAAAAACTGATGTCAAAAAAAGATTCATAGAGGTGCAAAGATCAACTACTGATAAATAAAATGATACTGGAAATTTGCAGGAAAAAAGATAGAAATCACAGCATAGTTTGGAAGGATTTCCGTAAAGGATTTGACAATGTACTGCACCCTTGGACCCTAAAGGCTTTGGAAAGGTACAGTATCTCCTAGGCTTAGTGAGAATGAATCTTCTTAAATATAGCATGAAACTGGAAAACCAAATTATACTTAAATCATACTAAAGGCACTGCCACTTCCAATATGAATATTTAGAGAAGATTCCTTGTCGCCGCTTTTGTTCTGCCTGACCTTAACCCTCTTATCCCATGAGCTAAATAATAATAACTATGGATACAAAGTAAAAACACTGTGTGTTTAATCACTAATTGTACAAACGTTGTGATGAAATTATTTGCCAAAGTTGTTAATGAGCTGAAGGGTTTCCTCAATAATGGACAATGTTTCAGTTATGACATAGGTATGGATTTCGGATTAGACAAATGTGCAAATGTAATATTCAAGAAAGGAAGAATTACACAGACACACTCAATAGATTTAGATTTTGTCACATTGATTAGGGACCTGGAACAAGAAGAAGCCGATAAATACCTAGGAGTCAGTGAAGAAGATGCAATACAGCATACCCAAGTGAAAGGGAAATTAAGAAAAGACTATAAAAAAGAACTATGACATAATTCACTCGGCAAGAAATTTAGAAACGGCATGCTGTACAGTTTGGCATTCCCGCTGGAAGCATCAATACGAACATTACAGAATGTTTGGGGGTCAATGTGGACAGTGCAGAGGATTTGGAAAGAGCTGGATGAGTCTTATGTTGATTCCGAAATTGTTTGGAGTAATCACTTCCCATAGCATCACCTAACTCCCCAGATTCTAACCCCCTTGATTAAATATAAATAAAACTCCGGGTAAAATCAAAGATGAACTGAAGACAAGGGTTATGGCGCCATGCACCAAATTAAACAAGGAGACAACACAGAAGAAATACAGGAGATTCCGAAGTCGTCTCGTGGCGTTGGCTGAATCCAATGGCGTCTTTATTGAAATAATAATAACTCTTTAGTTTTTCAAGATATTTTTTGTGTAATTTTGGTAAATATATCTTAAAATTAGATTTCAGAGTAACTTTCATTTTTGCGTTCCGTTTACCTAAGAAGACCCTAGTTAATCTCCAGAAATTAATTAAATTACCAAAAAATGGTTGCAAATTCTAAATTTGTGAAAGACATGTTTTTTTTTTTATGAGACCAGCTCATCAAAGAAAATATCTCAAAATAGAGGTTCTCCATATTGTCTTAGAGATGTACCATTCCAACCGATTCCCATCCAAATTTATTCACACACGCACAAAGTCACACGCGTATATATGAAAAAATTTGAATCCAAACCTTAAAGAAAAATTATTTTGAATATTTCACAAATGTTTTAAAATGTGTACAATAGATAGTTTGAAATTCCAAGGTTTGCAGTACTAGTTTCTCTTTTTACTACTCTTTTTATAAAAAATAATCTCTACACCATACATAGTTACCTCCCCTTAAATAGCTTCAGCGGTTACGCACTGACGCAGCGTTCTTCAGTCAACTTGTATGATATTTATCTTTTAGATGAACACAAATATTATGTCTTTTACGATAATAAATACTACAATAATTATCATGTAATAAACTATACAGTGATGATGACACTGCTATACCAAAAGTACTTGTAAATAAAAAAAAATATGAAACAACACGGCCATTTCCACTTGTCCTTTAAAGATGAAGCTTATAGGCGAATATGATTGGATCCTACTGAAAATAAGTAGACAGAACATGTCTAAATCATTCAACGAAACAGGTCTTTATATATATATATATATATATATATATATATATATATATATATATATATAGTGAATAAGTTAAAATACACCATAAAGTTATTTATATTTTGAAATAGTGTTTCAAATCTTGCATCATTGCAAAATTATTAGTCGGAGGAGTAATACTAGTAACATACTCATTTTCTCTCTTTCTCTATCTCACACACACACACACACACATAAACACATACGCTGATAAACGCATATTCTCTCACTCGCAAAAACGCACACTCACACACACACACACATATATATATATATATATATATATGTGTGTGTGTGTGTGTATATATATATATCTGTATATATGTGAATATATATATATATATGTGTATATATATATATATATATATATATATATATATATATATATATATATATATATATATATATATATATATATATATATATATATATATATATATATATATATTCTGTATCTATTTTGAGACGGATGTCAAAGTAAACTTTCTAATTCCAACGCAAACCGGGGTTGAGCTGACGTAATTTTCGTCGGTTGAAATAGATCTATGCCTCCCCATATGAGGTAATTTTTTGATTTTGCTGTGTAATATATATATATATATATATATATATATATATATATATATATATATATATATATATGTGTGTGTGTGTGTGTGTGTGTGTGTGTGTGTGTGTGTGTGTGTGTGTGTGTGTGTGTGTGTGTGTGTGTGCGTGTGTGTTTGTGTGTGTGTGTTGTGTGTGTGTCTGTGTCTGTGTGTATAGCTTATGATGTTTAGAAGATAATCTTATAATACTTCACAAAACATTCATATCTTTTAATATACAAAGCTTAGCTTAAAAAAAGCAAACCTTTAGTCAATACCTTTTGTACTGGGCGCTGAAAGCGATTCAAAAAGCTGAGGCGAATATTTTAAAAAGCAACATAATGCCATTTCTTAAATGGATAGTGTAGACAATATTTACATTTATATCTTCCGTTGAAACTCGCTCATGGGCACGAAAATTTATGGAAGGATGTTCCCGTGGAAAGTGTTGGAACAGTTTGCTCATTTAAATGCCTACCACCTACGGAATGACAACGTGTTAGATCCTCTTGAGACATTTTCAGCAATTCTAAAGCAGTCTAACATCGAAACCTTATGACATGACATTCTTCGCTTAACGTATACGCGCATAGCTTTTAATGTGGATTAAATAAAACCAAGTCATTCGAGACATATGATTCGTTACGTGGGATATTTGCGCGTGTAACTGAAGGTTATAGCAATGTCAGTGAAACTTATTTTCGTACACTGCCCTTTAGCTCTCTGAACCTCTCTCCCTCTTTCTCTCTCTTTCTCTCTCTCACTTTCTACCTATCCGTCTATCGATGGGTTCAAATTTATATCGATATCCGACAGGATGATAAAGTAAAAGAAACGTATATAAATCTAACATGTTTCATTTCTATCAAAGATTCGGCAGAGACTGAGATAAAACAGACAAAAAGGAAAAGAAAACCTGATATTTTCAATTATATTTGGGTCAGTTCTCATTGGTCAGACACGCGTCACGTGTATTAAAACGATAATTCTATGTGTACGTAGTTGTGGGAAGAATTTTGTATGTTTAAGTGAGCAACGGATGGTAATGTGTATTTGTAATTGTGTTTGTGTTTCTCTAGTTTTCTTTCTTTTATTTTCACCTTTGTACGCTCCGCCCTCGCATCGGGGAGTCGCAGGGTTCTAGTGTATGGCTTGACTGTTTAAAAATGTATTAAATAGATATAAGTTAGATTTTTTAAGAATGAATTCAAAGAAAGCTGGCGATGTAATTTAATGTTTTAAGTGTGAGTTTACAGTTGATAATAATGTTATTATTAAGTTTTCAATGCATTTTCTCCTTAAAGAATTAAGTTGTTTTTAATTAGGGAAGTATTAGTGAAAGCAAAGTTATGTCAAGCAAACGGGAGAAATCGTTTCTTCAAATATAACCCCCTTGTGTTCGTAGATGCGGGCTTTTAGATAATGTGATGTCTACTTCGCATAAAAATTTTTGCATTGTAAAAAAAAAAAATTTGATAAAAAATTTGATAAATCCCGGCACTTGAATCGGTGTTGGGTTTATTTTTCTATCTTTTATATATCCGGTTGTGTTGAAGGTTGTGGTAACAATTCTATTATTAAGGATGACTAATTTCTTTGCAAGTTTAGTAGAGTGTTGGAGGGCAAGATTATAAAATTTGTGTAATTATTGATAGAAAATTTATTGATGGTGTTTGTTTCGTTTTTTGTTTTTTTGGGGTTTTTTGCGTTTATGATAAAGTGATGTGGGTAGTGAAGAATATGAAAGTTTTCTCAATATATCTCTTCTTAATTTAAGTATTCTGGACTACATATCCAGAGGGCTCTAAGGTAACATCATCTATCTATCTATCTATCTATCTATCTATCTATCTATCTATCTATCTATCTATCTATGTGTTATGAACCTCAAATACGTGGACAATGATGTCTCTCCTATGCTCACTATCCGTTATTCCTCTAAGCCATCTTGCATCTTTCAGATTTCATTTCTACTTTGTTTTAATTGTTTCACCATCCACTTACATAAACTTACAGTTTACGTATGCATCTTTCGCCATCGATACGTTCTGTGAGATTTAAATTCTCCAAGACATTTTTTCTCATTTTATATCTACAAACCATCTGTCGAATTTTTTTCATAGGTAAATAAATTTCTTTTTTTTTTTTACTAATGATTTCCCAAACCATGACCTGTGACCTACTGAGTGTAGAAACTTACTGTATGGAATTTTATTAGCGAAAGTAAGGGCAAGAAGTGAAATCGTTCGGACAGAGACGTTAGAACTATAGAATTGAATTAGATTTTAGAAGGAACCGGATATCGAATGCTAAACAAAGAACAATGGATAAACTTCTACTCCTGTTCAGAATACAGGGGACGGTGTGTGAAACGTACAATAGCCTATCTACCTATCTACCAGGTGTTCTTATTTCTATTTTACGTTTTATACAGAATACACGCCTAAGGTGATTTATTACGCTAAGTATGTATGAATGTAGGCATGTATGTATTCATGTATGTTTGTATGTATCTATGTCCACGCTCCCGTTTGTGTGTATTTAGTTTACAATCAAAGCTTCATGTGATATTTCATGACATTTCGTAATCTATTTCATTTTTTCTTTTCTTTTTTTACTAATGTTCATCGAATACAAGGCCAAAGAGCTCCTCAAGTTAGAGGGTTACTGTGTGAAGTTGTGTGAAGTGGTATTAGCGTAAGAAAGGATAATCCTTAGGAGTATAGAATTGAAGTAGAATTTAGAAGGAACCGGAAACCCATTCCTAAAGAGGAAATAAGCACAAACCTCTACTCGTATTAGAAAAAACGGGAATTAATGTGAACAGGACGATAGAGGAACCTATCTACTGCTATTAAATTTGTCGCATTCACACTGATAGAGTATCCCTAAAAATCTGAATGCAGCGAAATGCCTATTCGCTCTCTGTGACAGTTTAAAACCCACAGGATGAAGCGTTGGTTTATCCTACAAAGTGAGACGCATGTTCGAATTTTTGCCGGAGAGTAGAGTTACTTTATTAAATGTTTCAGCTGCGGAAGCCAATAATTGTCATACATATTGTTTAAAATATAAATGAGGGTTCTATTTCAAATCCGGTTATCTACTAAAATAACGTTTAAAATAATAAAATATATGGATTTGTTGCGGGCTGAACGACATCAATTCAACCCGTTCTATTTTTTACGTTAGAAATGTGCTAACAAGGAATAAGTAAACAAGAAGAATAACATTCAACAAGTGAAATTGCATAAGTAAATGGAATTTATTTATATATATATATAACAACAATTGTACAGACAGTAATTTAGTTGTGTTTGAAATACTGAAATTTATATGTCTTTGGAAATTTGAGTGAGGAAAATGTTATTGTTGGGAAAAGGTGAAGTGTATTAAAAAGTGTGTGAGTTTGGTGAACTTTAGTAAGATGTATTGTTACTTGTAAAAGAATTAAACAGTTTGTTATTCACAATGTTATGTTAAGTATTTCTGTCCTTCAAGGAGTTGATCTTCGTAGATGTTCGTACGTACGTGTGTGCGTGTGTGATGACATTTCATAGAGTTTTTCCCAAAGGGAGAAAACGCAATTTCTCTATTGGATTACATTGCTGTGGGTCTGAGAAGAAGAAGAAAAAAAGAGAGAATGAAGATGTGTCAAAGTATTTCTAAGTAATGTTAATCACATTGTAGGCTCCAAATTACAGGTTGGGTCTTTTAGCGAGAGTCATTTTTACTGGACAATATAGAGTTCATTTTATTTCGTTTAATACCGATAACATGCGTCGAGCCATGATGCGCAGAGATGCGTTTTCGCATTCTACTTGGGCCGTTAAGCAGTCAACATCCGGTTTATAAAAAAGGGTGTAAGAGATATAAAGGTCCGCCAGCCAAATGTCCGCTGGCCAAATCTCCGCCGGCTAAATGTCCGTCGACCAAATGTCCAGCCACGCGTTTATATATGTAGTTTATTTTTAAACAGGCCATGTCTCAACAAGATATAGGCGATCATGTATCTCGGGATCTTTCTTTTATTTAATATACATGAAAGTTAGTAGAATGCTTTCTCATTGCTTTTTCGCTGTATTTAATTTTTTTTATTAGCAACAAATTTAGATAGATGTCAATATCTTAATTTTTAGCGAGGAGGGTAAAGAAGAGAAAAAGAAAAAGAAATCATAGCCTTACTAAGGGAACTAGCTTGAAGTAACATGCAAAATACATACTGGAATTTGAACACAACCTATGGATTCTATTTTCAACGTTGATAAACATTACGCCTGCAGATCGTCGTCATGAATGTAGTACAACGGTAAGGCACATAACTTTCGAGTATACAGCCTGATATAATGTCTGAGCCATTTTTTGGATTGTAATTAGTAATGGAAATGAAAGTTATCATCTTTAAGTGTGTTTATATTTTTAAATAAATCAGCTGCTGATACTGATATTTTCGGATTATCTTGTATTCATTTTATTTTAATCATTTCACTCCAAGTAAGGCGATAATGCCACTAAGACGAAATATGCTTACCGACAGTGCAAGAGAAGGAGAATAATTTACTGAGGATGAAAGAAAAAAAAAGATTCTGGGAGGCAGAAAATTGCAATTGATGCTGCATTAAATCTTGAAGATTCTCCGTGACAGAGAAGCAAGTAGTAGGAACGTTGTTCCACAGACAATAACTGTGACGAATATATATATATATATATATATATATATATATATATATGTGTGTGTGTGTGTGTGTGTGTGTGTGTGTGTGTGTGTGTGTGTGTGTGAGCGCGTATTCAGACAGCAAATTCTCTTTTAGGAATGTTTGATTGAATAAATTACAGACATTGTGTCTGCTAATTTTTAACAAAATCCGTTCATACTCATGAATAACCTTTCATGTTTTGATGTTAAAGGATGAGAGAAATGTGCTATAGCTGTTCAAATGTCTTTATTTTCATTTCTCAAGTAGTTTCGATCTTCTTCCAAGATCATCTTCAAGGGTGAAACATTGTCAAACGTTTTGCATTTAAAAGCATAACGAAAAAAAATTCAGTAATGGATAACAACGCACAACTTCGTATAAATGCTTGTACTAATGAAAAACCTATAGTTTTGTACTACTTTCACCCTTGCACAAAAAGGGAATTACTAAAGTTAATGTTATGAAATGACGAAATCTCTAAACTAAATTTTAAAATGCATTAACCAACTAATCACTCGGTGAACGTTATGATACTTGTTCTTTTTTTTTTTTTTTTCTAAATTATAACTCTATTTTGTGTTCTTTAAATATGCAAGTATTTCCGAGGGTTCCTCCAGTCATCCTCTGGCATGGAAATTATTTTGTTTTTGGTAAAATTCAGGTAGCCTCCAAGATGAAAAACATAATGCAAATCGAAATGTCTTTTTTTTTTTTTTTTTTTTTTTTAAATGTGCTATTGATAAAGAATAAAAAATGTGGAGCGTGCATTCGCAACGCTAAGGTTAGATTTTTGAAAATTTAAGTGTGTTCTTTTTTGTTTTTACTAATATGCCAATTTAGAATTTTTTTCGTTGTGGGAGTGTATCAGTCAATGTGGCATGAACTAAATTCTTTAATATGAAGAATAATGTCTCAGTTGATATCCCACAAACACACACACACACACACACACACACACACACACATATATATATATATATATATATATATATATATATATATATATATATATAAGAACTGATCCGGCGTGTAAATTTTCAGGATAACAACTGAGACATTACTCTCTCTCTCTGTCTCTCTCTGTCTCTCTGTCTCTCTCTCTCTCTCTCTCTCTCTCTATATATATATATATATATATTGAACAATATAAAAATATTTGAAAAATAAAAAAATCTTTAAATTAAAACTTGGGACACACATTAATATACTTTCATTTTTTTTATTATTTCATTTAGATTCCTCGAATAGTTTCGGCCAACATAGTCATCATCAGGAGAAAAAAATCTGCTTGCTTGTAGGAGTGAACTAGAGAACTACTGGTGGAGAAAATCAATCTTTGTCTGTAGTTTGCATTTGTTTATTTTTAATTTTTAATTTTTTTAACATGAATTTTGGTCAGTCTTTGTGTTGGTCAGTTTCTTTTAATTTGTTTTTTATGATAAGAGATGAATTGATACATGCTGCTCTAATTCCCTTGGTCATTTGACAGTTTAGTTGGTTCCTGGAAAGAGGGGTGTCTCTGTTAAGTGTTTGTGTTATTTGGTTCTTAAGGAGTGAGGAAGTATGATGTATGTAAGCTTGTATATTACTATGGGTGTGTGATATCATTAGGCGCATTAGGAGGTGAGTGAATATGATGTGTGCAAGTGTGTATATTCGTTTGGGTGTGTGCATAAGTGTGAGGCCTCAAACCTCCGTAAGCATACATGCCTTGTGTGGGTGATGTCCTGGTTTGTGGGGTTATATATTAATACTATCTATATTGTTAAATTTGTGATTGAGCCCGTCTGGATAGTGCGTTTTTAAACGTTGAATCCACTTATTTTCATGGAACTCTAAAATCTTTCTAATGTTTTCTACTCTAAACTTGTATATATATATATATATATATATATATATATATATATATATATTAAAGACATTTTATTTATGTTTAACGTTGTTATTTTATAGATACAAGTATTTAAGCAAATGCTCTGTTTAAGATAAACAGTATTAAATAACATTTACCGGCCTGAATGTCCGAGAAATTTTCATAGAAAAATATTCGTTCATAGACAGATTCGTTGCATCCTATACGGAACTGTCATATACGCTGACATGCCTTAACCACTCGGTCATGAACCTTATGGTAGACAAGGTCGAATTTACTGTTATAAACTACAATCTTTGAATCTCGTACATTCATAACTGCTCTGGCGTATCGAATGTAAACAAATGACGTCATATGTT